TCATATTGACAGTAGGATCAGATTTAACTACATATTAATACTGAATTCACAAATTAATAAATGTAATTTAAAAATCAGAGACTTTTTTTAGTCTTGTTAACTTAAAAACAAAAACTACATGTTGATTCAAGGTTTTAAGAAAATTCCTGTTTATTTTAACATATCTGCTACACAAAGTCATTCCGATGCGAGACCACTGGAAAGTTCTGTCACTTGCAGTTTGACATCGCTTTGATGCAATCGATAGTTTTTGCACAGCAGCTTAAATTCCCACCCATTTCTGTCTGCCTGTAGAGGGAATTACCATACCAACCCGTGACTATGAAAAGTCCTGTTCTTGAAATTCTGTTTTTAAAAGTGTTGTTTAAGGAGCTTACATCACTTAAGCTGCTTTAAAAAAAATGACAAAAATTGTGTCAAGATGACCACAGAAACAGATGACCTTAAAACTCAAGAAAATAAACCAGAGTCCAATTCCTGTAAAAACAACAGACATTTTATCCAAGATGAAATGTGGAAAATTTGGTTTCAGACAAGTCATAAGATTTACATTAGCTTCATTCCTACAGCAGTTCACATGGGAGCCGAGCATCAGACTGCATTTGATGAAAAACACTCCATCTCATCAGATAATAGTTTTAATTAACGACATGGCTGACTGTTGGAGCTTTGCTGCAGATTAAGCCAAATAAATAACATCAGAGCAAAGATACTAAATGAGTTTGATTTTTTTTTTTTCCTAGAAGGAAACGTAGTCTGGATTTTAACCTTTTTAGATTCCTGTACAGAGATGTTTGGTTCTAAAAAGGAACCAGTGATCCTGTGGAGGCAATATTATTAGATGTTCTTTAAGTGCAGCTCAGGCTATATTAAGGAGACATTTATTCTCAGTTTTAAACTACAGCTGCAAGATTAGATTTCACCAGTGGTGGAGAAAGTAGTCAAAAAATGTACTTAAGTAAAAGTACAAATGCACAGACAAAAATGCACTCAAGTAAAAGAAAAAGCACCACATTAACATTTTACTTAAGTAAAAGTAAAAAAGTATTGGCTTTTAAAAACACCAGTACTAAACACCAGTACTAAAC